AAGTTTGCAGAAAACAATTAAAATTTTAAACTTGCTACAATATCAATACTCATTTGGTGTCTCAGCCAGTAAGCTGCCGCCGTATGTGTCAGTCCGTGTTGATCGGTTTTCGTCTCTTACACTTTTCTCTGAGATTATTGTACGCGGCATCTAACTCGATATGCCTGTTGATGGATGACTCATCGGAGTGCATGGCTTCAAGAAACCCTCGGCGTTATTAGGGAGTTCTTTCCTAAAGAACGTAACTGATTTCAACATATACGCATATATAAATGCATATATATGTGTATACTTATTGACGAGTTAGCGGTGTAATGGTATGGAGCGTTAAAACACGCAATTTTACCCAAATACCTTTTAGTTCGCTACGTTAGGGAGAAAATCTACCTGTCTACACTTAAGAAAGTCCTCGCAACAGGCAACGACTAGCCCAAACCTATTAGCATGAGATTGATGATGGTGCCGACAACTATTCTTGTAATTTAGGGCACCATTTGACCTGATACATAAAGCAAGTGACTCATGCTGTCTTCTCGCAGACTAAGGTCATTATTCTGACCTATGATGGAGAGCGGTTTTGTCTGTCAGACAAGGTAAACTCCCATACACTGAGATGCCTGGCAACATGAGTACATACTTATGCCTCTCAAGACTAAACTGCAACAAATTCCACACGCGTTGGTGCCTCTGTCGGCGAGTTCACACGTTTACGGCAACGAGAAATTTATGTGGGCATTTCATCCGCTACAAATTCTTACATGCTGGCCAGGCTAGAATAATCGAAGTTTATGTCTTCCTTATACAAAATATCTTAAATGTATTTGTTACGCAGTCAAAACCGCACATTCGTTGTCTCCACGAATATCTTATATTGAGAGTTTTAATAAACAAACTAGTCAAGATCTGCCTTTGAATGCACGGGAAACATGACGGTTTCACTGACATTTCCCATTCGATCTAAAACGCTGTGTAATTATGTACATAGGAAAAATGCAATTTAATTCCATACAACACGTGCTCTTTTTGTATGAGCAAATTAACTGATTGCGAATACGCCTTGCAACTCTATCTAAATTTATTATTCAATGACCCGCCCAAGAACCCGAGCCGGCGTGAAGCAATTGTTGCCTTAACGGTCCTGTACGAAATCGAGCGAATTCCTGCTTGTCCATTGGACCACATTTTAATTATGGCATACAACAAGTCCTCGACAACATAATAAATGTTGTTGTCAGACAGCCTAAACGGACGTTACGCTTATGCTTAAACGATATTTTAATATAAACTTCATTAAAAGACCATTTGCAGGTATTATTCTATTTTTTTCTCATATGTACTCAGTCTTTTTTTCATGAGCAGACTTCCTGCACATATCGTAATGAAGTTCGCACAATTACAACCACTTCGGTGTTTTCGGAAATGGCGACGGTATAGAGAGGGACACCACTTAACTGACGGTTGACTGTGGATGGGGTCATAAGTGGTTGTTTACCTGGGGATTTTTGCGTGGGGCAAAGGCCTACGAATAGAGAACAAGATAAAAGCACATATGTTGTTATCCACTGTCTGCCGTCGGTTAACTGGCATCCCTCTGCATACCATTGTCAAATTGTCTGTTTTCTGTTTGTTTGCAGTATCTACAACCTATCTGCTATGAATATTTAGGTTATATCCAGTGTAAGCGCTGAAAACAAATGACAAAATATTTTTTGGTGAGTAGTAAATAGCGTTTTTAACTTTTGCATACCCACTGTATACCCGTCAGGAATCGATGGAGAGACTAGAACAAGTTTAAATATTCTCCTTAGTGTCGGCCACGAATATGAAAGTAGGAGTAATTATTCCTGCCTCAACGCGTTTTCCAACAAATAATCGTCACCCGTTAATCAGTACTGCGTCGTGTCAATCTCCTCCTTGAATGTAAAAGTTTCTGTCCTTTCAAAACGTCTCAGAATTAGAATTCTCAATGAACACCTTTGTATT